GTAGATCCATCCTGAATTCACTCCTCTTGTCAGGCCTGGGAAAGGACTGTCCCTGGCTCGTGCTGGCAGGTGAAGGTGGATCCATTTGGTCACCCTTTATAGTTATATAACCCACCCCTCTCCTGCCCCACATAAATTTTTTATTCTTCAAAGTGCAGTATTAATATGACAAAATCAGACCAAGACAAAACAATCCATCGTTGTTCATCTTGAACACATTTTCAAAGTGTGAAGAGCTCCCCACGGAAGGTGGGGATGGAAAAGATTGAAGTGGGTGAGGAGAGACAAGACCTCGTGCTGCCTCGCTGAGGTACATTGGCGGGGGACCATGAATTTATGGAAACCTAGGATTTTTCCCAACTGTTGCATGTTAGTCCTCGTGTGGGAGTGGGCTTTTCTGGAGTTGAGTGAGGCTGAAGGATAATAATGGGGGCCAGGGATCGAAGAACATTGACAAGGAGTAAGTGAAATGATGGCCTTAGAGGACCAGTTTGGGTATGGAAGGAAGTAAAGACTCCGTGTGTCGGGGGGGGAGGGGTGCATAAGGAGAGGGGGTAAACAAAATAAGGAAAAAGAGAGGGATCTGAGGCATAGTGGTCTTAATGAAGATATAGACCAGGAGGACTTTTTTGTCCTACCCTCTGTAACAAAAGACAGTATATCTGCAGAGTGTATCTATAGAGTATATCTCCCCCCACCTCTTTGGGAGGGGGAAGGGATTTTGCACCCCTCCCCCTCAGAGGACATTTAACAACTCGTGACATTTTTGCTGTCACAACTGGGGTTGCTACCGGCATCTAGCAGATACAGGCCCGAGATGCTGCTGAGCACCCCACCGCCCACAGGACAGCCTTCCAGGGCAGAGAATTACCCAGCCCTAAATCTCAGCAGCAATGAGGTAGAAAAACATGCTCAATCTGAAGTGTCATGATAATCTGAAACATTAAATATTGCTCCATGTGGAAACACACCCCGGGATTTTATAAACTGTCTGGCTAGGGAACCCAGTTTTCAGCATAGTTCACACTGCTGTGAAGGTGAATGTGAAGGTCTCTGAGACAGCAGTAGATTTCAAGAATTCCTTGGATAGCAGTGGCTGTGACTAGAGCCTTCAGGCCACCCACCTTGGCCCAGGACCAGGTGCCACCTCTCCATACAGACAGCCACCTACAGAGGCCGCCTCAGCCACGGCATCGGCGCCCCGTGTGGGATGTTGTCTCTCTTGTCCCTGGAGCAGACAGGCCCTCTCGTTTGGCTTGGTGGCAGCCTCTACTGCTTTAAATGCCTTCTTTCTATTTGTGAGTTTGGGTTGTTTGCATAGCTGGGGAATGCCTACACAATTTTCTCCTTAAAGTACCACAAATATTAGTCAACTTCATAGTTAAACCCTTATCCTATTATTTTTCCCTTTTATGTGTTATTTATAGGCCAATTATCTAAAGCTAGTGACAAAAGAAACTGGATCTTTTTTAGTTTTGTTCTTCTGAAAATGCTAGCAAATTTTCTTTTCTGTGTTCTAAAAATACACAGACAACTTCTGTACTTCATCCTGCTATAGAGGGTGGGTCGTTTCTGATGGCTCGTTCAATGCTGTATTTAGAAAACAAGTCTGTGTGTTCTGCTCCTTGAACGTGGGGAAATTCCACTGTTACCAAGATGACACACAGAGAAGCCCGGGTGAGCCTGGTGTGGTAGGCCCACCTAACAGCAGATGAGGAGCAGAGCAAGTCTCACACCTCAGCGTGTGTCCGAATCACCTGCAGGACGTGGTAAAACACAGGCTGCTGGGCCCATTCCCAGAGTTCCTGAATCAGAGGCCCCTGGATGAGGCCCGGGGATTTGTTTCTGACAAGCTGCTAGGTGATGCTGATGTGACATTTCCCATACTGAGAAGCACTGTGGGTTTTTATATTCATTTTGATGCGTTCTGTTTCCATGTTAGGTTACATTTAAGAAATCAGCTCTGTATGCCTCAGTGCTATATGGTATGTTAGTCTGTTAGAGAAGAGCTCAATTTGGTCCTTCTAACAGGTATCCCTGTGAACACACATCTTGGAGGGAAAAGCTTTAAGCCTTACGGCTGTTTTGCAAACTTCCATATTCCCAGCAATTGTTGCTATAATTTTAATGACTTATTTTCTATGATATCTTGAATAGGACCTGTTTAATAAATGTTCACCCAAACTGGATCTATGTAAACACATAAAAATCTAGTTACAGTAAGAGTCAACCTCTAGGTTGCCTTTGGTTCAAAAATAATCAATATGCTAAAACAGCATATTTTGGGGAGGTATATTCTGAAGCCTTTAGAAGAAAAGGTGATACACTACCACATAATGGAAAGGTCAGTATCAAACTAGGACAATTAAACAGTTGATAGTGGTAAAAGACTAGGCAGCCAGATGAATTCAATACATTAGAAGTCCCTCCTTACCTACTACCATCACTTTCTTTCCAAACAGGCCCCAGAGATGGGGTAACATTTAAAATCAGTGGGAAAAGAAAGAACTGGTCACTGCATAGCTATGGGGTAAGTGGTTAATACTTTGGAAAGAGAAAGTAGACTTGTGTCAATATGGACGAACATAAACTTCCCCTAGATCAAAGCCTTTAGTGTAAAATATGAAGCCATGGCCCCTGGAAGGAAACACAGGTGTGTATTTATTTGATTGTGGGGTGGGGAACTTTTTCTTTGAGCATAAAAGATCACAAAATTAAGACAGACAGACATATTTAGCCCCAGAAAAATTAACTCTAGAAAGAACACTATATAAACTTTCTATATGGCAACTGGACAATTTTGACCTATAACTACACTTTAAGAACTTCATCCTAAACAAAATAGCAAACACATTTGTGGAAAAGGATTTTAACTGACATACTACCATAATAGTAAAACTTTGTAAACATCCTAAATGTTCCACAAAAGGGGAATATTTAAATAAATCATTGGCCTCCTGTTTTATACCCACTCTGGGCAAGTCAAAAAGTGGAAATAGAAGCACATTTAGATATATTAGCAATAACTTGAACTTTTGGGGGGGTAATTTTATATCTTTAAATACTATCTGATGCTTAACCAATACACATGTGTTCTTTTATCCTTACATACAGGAATAGTAAAATTGTATAAACAGGATCCTAACCTTAAAAAAATACAACTGAATATAAACACCTAGAAAAAGATAAAGAAATAATCAAATGTTAATTGTGGTTTTTCACAAGGTGGTAAAGTTATAGGTGATTTTATTTTCTTCATAGCATTTGCCTATATTCCTGAATTTTCAACAAGGAATATAGTTATTATAATCAGAAAACTTAAAATATGCTACCATTAAAAAGAAATAGAAATCTTTCTATTATGAATATTAAATTTTATTTTACATATACTCTAACATATACATTTTCCCCCCAAAATGGAATATGTCAGGCACCATGTGTTTCTTGATCTTTGTTAAACCAAAGAGAACACTATGACCTCCTAAATAATTAACCAATCAGCTAATTTTGTTCTATTGGTCTACATGTCAGTTCTGGTAGATGGAAAGCCTTTTGGGATATTGCTCACTCAGTATTAAATGAGATTTCCATGAGTTCTATTAAATTATAAATTTTCATAATCCAGGCTTCTCATGTTAGTGTCATCCTTTAAAAAAATATGTTATTACAAAGTATTTTAATGTATTTACCATCAAGGTAAAAATGCAACAGATTCCCCCCCTCCCTGGAGACATGTACATGTGGGAAATACTACCTAATGATCAGCCAGGAACCAGGACTGCCTAAGAAACTGCAAACCGAATCCCAGAAACACACAGCTATGCAAGGATTTAAGGCAACTTTTTATTGACTCTTTTACTGCATATTTACCTTAAGCAATGGGCAGGGTTTTTCAGAGGGACTAGGAGCTGGATATTACACAGAAAAGGAAGCCAAGGTTAAACACATGTGATATAACTTGCTACTCCTTTTCCCACCCCCTCCGCAAGTTAAACAATCAAAACCAAAAAGACTAGAGGCTCACATACCTAAACCCACAGTCCTAGGAAATCATCGGCTATGATGAGTCACATGTTTTCCATTGTCCCTTCTGCATATGTCCCCATTCCTTCCCCTGGTCCTGGGCTGTAGGGCGGTTGGCCATTTTTGACACAATTTCCCTTTCCAGGAGGCCTTTAAATCCAGGTTTTAGCATGTGACCAAAACCTGGCCAATCAGTGTATTCTAGCCTGTTGACCACAGGAAAGTCCATGCTAACCCAGAGGCCCACTCAATGGACATACTTGTGTGAATTACTAGGAAATAAAGCTCGCTCTTCACTGAGATTGCCAGGTGTGAGAACAGTTACGTGCTGGGAGCTTCTGTATGTCACTATGGGGAAGAAGGTCCGCCAGAGGATTAAACTGGCTTAGCGGAAAGCAAGCTGAGAGATGGGAAGAGGCAAGGAGGGAGGAGAGACAGACAGACAGACAGAGAGACAGACAGCATTGATTACACTGGACTGTGATGTGAGCAGAAAGGGACTTTTACTGAGTTAAGCCACTGGTATCTAGAATTGTTACAGCAGTCAGCACACGCTGATGAACACAGCTAAAATTGTCTACAGTGAGGTAGCTCAATGTACCTCTCTGCCCAGTGGTTTGAGAACATTGGATCTTCTGCCCAGTAGTCTGTTTCCACTTTACAAAGCAGTTAAGGGTAATACTTTTTGTAGGTTGGGTTCTTTTTTAAGATTTTATTTATTTATTTTAGAAAGGGGAAGGGAAGGAGAAAGAGACAGAAACATTAGTGTGTGGTTGACTTCCACACCCCGTACTGGGGACCTGACCCGCATCCCAGACATGTCGCCTGACTGGGAATCAAACCAGAGACCCTTTGGTTCACAGGCTGACTGTGGCTCAATCCACTGAGCCACACTAGCCAGGGCAGGAGGAATTTTAATGTATTAAACAAAGCTCCAAACTGGTAATTGTTATAAAATATAGTTTAATTTCACTTTTTTCATTATTTACCACAAAATAAAAAAAATACCAATATACAGAAGCGTGAGTAAACTGGTAAAAAGCTAAAAACTGTATAAAAGACAAACCTTAGCTCGAACACATGAGCAGTGACACACACACCCCCCCATACACTCTCAAATGAGTCCAGAAGCATGTTCCGGGTCGGACGGGTTTTCTTTCTAAGGTCAGCTTTTTACTAGAGCCACATCTGGGAAGCTCCCCAGACTAAAGTTCTCATGTTATGTGGGAAGGATCTTCTCTTAACAAGCATTTCTCATAAAATAACTCACACGAGAAAGGCAGAATTATAGACACAAAGGACATAAATGCCTCTTGTAGGCCCCATGGAACTTGGAAAAAAGTCACCTAATGAAAGAAAACAAAGTGCTAAAGAAATGGACAAGTGACACCTAGTGGCCACTTGGTAGTTTTCCTTTATGGCTTCTGAGTATTCTAGATGTCAGCCTTACTCTGCCTGCAATACCCTGCATGGACAATCTGCTTCTCCAATTCCAGAGCCCAACAGTGGCCCACTTGAGTGGCTGATGCCCCAGGAGAGCGGGCTCAGAAACACCACCACCAAACACGGTCCGACAACTAGGTAGTGGCCATTTCATCTCCCCGAGCCCCTGACTCAACAAACTCCTCCAGGAACAGGACTCCTAAATACAGCCTTTCCCCATGGAACACTGTAATTAAATACTGGAACCCATTCTGTACTTTCCTGGGGTTTTTTCTCAGTGGATTTCCAAATTTCGTTACTTCCATAGGGTATCAACATAGAGCTCAAGTTTTATTTGATGTCAAGCTAGCATCCTGTAATAAATATGTGACCAAAATTTCAAGTTCACCAGTTTTTTTTAAAAAGTTTTAAATCTGATGCTAGGAAACAGGTTATTTGTACTAAATCGAGTAAATACACAACTGCGTTCTAAACCACGGCATTTGGAGGTAAACGCCGTATTCAGTGTACAGCCTTCGGTCTGCTTCAGTAACGGTCACTTCCTAAAAGGCTCTGGAGTGGGGATGCCCACCAGAAACATAATGTGTGCCCCATCTGCAACTTTAAATTTCCTAGCAGCCACATTAGAGAAGTCCGAGGCAAACATTTAATCTTTTGTTTCATTCAGTATATCCAGTATTATTTGAACATGGAATCAATAAAAGTGCTAATATATTTTATTCCTTTTCTATACGGTGTTTGAAAGATGGTATGAAATTTACATTGACAGCAATTCTCATTGGAATTGGCTGCATTTAAAGGGCCCAGTGGCCGCAGGCAGCCAGCGTCCATCGCACTGGACAGCACGGCCCTACAGCCTGACCCTGGAGCTCCAGGCCTACAGATCAGAGTCACCGAATCAAAACTAGAAATAAACTCAAAGATTGGACCTCTTGTTGCAAATGAGGGAACCGAGGTCCAGAGAGCTTTAAGTGACTTGCCTGTCATCACACAGCTAAGTTTAGGCTGAGTGGGCTCTTCTGACTCCAGTCACTCCCCCCACCCCAGTACGTAACCGTGGGTAGTAATTCTTTCGGTGACAAAAAAAGGAAAGAACACTAGAGTATTCTTTTTATAATGCTTTCATTCAAGGTGTAGACATTTTTAACCAAGATGTGATAAGTTAATTGGTAGGAGAAAAAATAATATTGAGTAAGCCATAAAAACATCTGCCACTCCTAATAGCAATCAAATGCAAAGAGAACACATTTTGAAGAACCCACTAAACCTGACAGAGTTACAGCATCATACAGTGCGTGGGGTGGATTCCGAGTCCAGGGCAGGAAGATCTACAGAAAAATGTGAGTGGGTTACTAAAGGATCAGAGCACCGAACCGGCTGTCAACTGGTCTGTGGAATCACCCCTCTGGCCAAGAGAGAAAACTGCTGCTGTGCGAGACAGCAGTAGCTTGCCTCTAGAAACGCTGCCTCCTGCCTCTCAGATCCTTGTGTCATGAAGGTTTGTCCCCTCTGCTTTTGAGGCCATCGACGTACAATGACCTATTATGGGACCACTGGCTTAGGTCAGCTCTGCAGGCCAAGCATCCCCCAAAGTGCTGAGCTTGTAGGCAGGCCCCTCTCCTGCACTTAGAGAACAGATGTGATTGTTCATGTTTCCTTAGGCTCTACCATCACGCCAACCTCCCTACATCTTGCAAGGTTTCGTTGGCTTATCCTAAACCGGATGTCTTGAGTCGTCCCGTGCAGAACCGGGAGTGGTGCCAGCCCTCTGACATTGCTGGAACATCATGTCGGCTTCAGAGGACAATGTACCAACACACCCTTGCCCACAGAGCTACTACAAACATCATACCAGATGGGAGCTTCTGCTTTGGTTGTTACCTGTTGGCTTCTTTGCCATTAATGCACCTGATGACAGTGCCATCTATTACTTACAACCTAAAGAAGTACACAAGATCAAAAATGCTTCGCCGTGGTGAGGGGCTCTGAGGACAGTCAGCTGGAAAGGTATAGAACCTTCCAGAGAAAGAACTGGATTTGAACCCCACATGTGAGCCTCAGGGCTCCCCACCAGTTTCCCGGCCTACCTTACTTTCATCTGTGGGGCACAAAAAGAATACATGGGGATGTACTTGGTAAACTAGAAAGAGCTATTGACATAAGGTGTTCTGGAAATGTGACCTTCAAAATGGCAGCCATACACATGGTGCTTTAAATGCTCTTAATTCCTGCACTCAGTTTGAGATACCTCGGGATTAATTACTGGTTAAATGCTCTCCAATTTTTTTTAATTGTGGCTAGAAAATGGTTTAAAATTTTTTCTCATTGCCTCACATTTCTAGTGTATTTCCCGTGTATATAACAGCCTTTGGTCATAGGCAATAGTAACTGTAATTGCCTAATGATTTATAAATATAAGGCCATGATATAAATATAAAGCAGTACTAGTTCTTGGGCCAGTTGGTTGATCATTTAACCAGTGAGACCACTGCTCTCCCAAATGTGTAAAGAGAAATTGGTTTAGACACATTGAACACTAAAAAATATGGATTTAATTGTGTCTTTACACAAAACATTTAATCTGCCTGGGCCTGTTTCTTCCTCTGAGATAATCGGTTACTACGTACCATTTCAGTACCAACAGCCTGTTCTGTCTGTAAGGAAAGCCCCGAGTGGGTATATTAAGAGTAAATCTTACATATGCGACAGTTAATCACGAACATCCAGGGCCCCAGATCTTTCCTCTTCTGCAAGCAAAGTTGAAAGTCTCTTAAATTTTCTGAGTTTTAAACAAAACCATCTCATTTAAAATCCATCCGAGTGCTCGGCTGGGCATAAGCATCCTGGCTCTGTGCTTGCCCAATCCTGCAAAGACCAAACACACTATTCACTGTGATCATGACTATAAACATCACTGTCCCTTTAAGGAAGCACACAAGAAATGGAAATGTTTCAAATTACACAAATCTACTGTGAGTCGATTCTAAATGAATCTTAGGCACAAGGAAAATGCCAACATATTAATTCCCCAAACTCAAAAAAACTGCACCAAGAAAAAAAATATATATGGAATGCTGTTTGTTGGTTAGAAAGACTTTAGCAAAAATAGCAATTAGCAGGTTTACCGCCAGCTCACTGAATGACGGGGTCTGTCAGCAACTCTGAGCAGTTCTGTTTGAAAGAAAATGTCACATTTCCGCAGGCCCCTGTGAGAGTAGGTGCACGTCTATAAAAATTGGTGGACTCTTAATAAGAATAACAGATAAAAACAGTATCAATATAGCACAGAAGAATATACAGGGTTTTGTTTTTGTCTTTGTAAAGGAAATGCTACAAAACTGTTCCCATTTTTTGGAGTTAAAAATCAAGTGCTAAAGTGTCCAGCGGATGTCGCTGAAGTCCTCGGGGTCCCCCAGACCCCCCTCTGCTTCTAAGTAATTCATGAAGGCAGCTATGGCTGTGTCATCATTGTCACAGAAGGCATCAAAATCCAGCTGGGCACCATCACCTACAGAATTAGAACACAGGCCCGTAGAAATACATTTGAAGATTCAAAATGATTATCCTTAGAAAGGCAAAGCACAACTACAATTCCAAACAATGCACTTTTGAAGGCAAACTATGTATCTTAAAATGCAAAAGCCAGATAAATTTGGAACAGTCTGCTGTTGTTAGATAAATTGCATTTAACTCACTTGATACACATAGAAGAGCTAGTCTGAGTTTTCTAATAGCAAAGAACAGCCTGAGAAGGTACAGACTCCCAGACAGTTGGAAAATGAGGCTGGGGTTTGTACATGAGTGCACATATGCGCACGTGTGTGTGTGTGTGTGTGTGTGTGTGTGTAGCCTGGAGGGAGAAATTTAACTTCAATTTGCTTTGTAAACAAACAAACAAACAAAAAAACTATTTGTTTAGCCCCAAAATGAGAAGGCTGTGACAAAAGTTTCTAAAACCTTAGTATTCTTATCAAAGAGAAGTAACCAAATTTTTACTGCAAAAAAGGATCCAAAGTGGGACTATGGAAATATTTTAGTTAGAAAGAAAGAAGTTCTAGAAATTAAGGATTAAAAATAAAGCTACAGATGAACCAAAGTTTTCTAGATATCTTTCAAAGTACAATAGAACTTGAGATGATTAATAAGTGGTTTTGTGTACAGCTAATACCCAAATTCCTTCAAGTTCTTTGATTTTTTAACATAAATTTTAGTAAATAAATGTTAGTTACAGGGGGTATAAAACTGTCATTTCAATTTACTCAATGTGAACTTTGTATAAACATAGTTAAAATGAATGATTACATCTTAAACTTTTTATCATTGGTACCCTTTAAAAATTCTTGAATTCCTGAGAATGGACACGTTTTCCTAGACAGAAATACCTTAGTTTGATTTAAATTGTGTGTACGAACAATACTCATAACTGATTCAGCTGATAACTGAACTTTCAATGACAGGCCCATTAAGGAACACAAGAGTATGATTATTGTGTGTAGGATTTTGAATGGAAAAGTCTTAGTTTTAAACTTGTTTGCTTCTCTAGAAATCTTCCATGTCTGAAAACACAGGGATTAAGAAGGAGTTTTTGGAAAAACAAAGTGGTGGGCAGTTGTCAATGAAAACTTACCTAGGAGAGGTTCCTGACCGTGGGGCGCAACAGCGCTGTGGTTTGGCCTTGTAGCTTCCAGCTTCCCTATTTCAGGAGGACTTAGTGGGATCAACTCCTTACTTGACACCTGAAAGGACAATAATAAGTAGTAAGGCTCCTACATGAATGAAATACTTCTTAGCAGTCACCAGACACGGGCCTGCCGGCAGCGCCGACCCTCCCATCGCCAACATGGCAGCTCACATGTACTGTGTGCTCTGCTTCAGCACTCCACACACATTATCTTGTTTCATCTTAAAACTGTTGTGAGGCCCTGGCTGGTGTAGAGCCTGGCTTACACAGGCCTGTGAACCAAAGAGTCGCTGGTTCAGTTTCCAGTCAGGGCACATGCCTGGGTTGGGGGCCAGGTCCCCAAGTTGGGGGCACATGAGAGGCAACCACACATTGAGATTTCCCTCCCCCTCTTTCTCTCTCCCTTCCCCTCTCTCTAAAAATAAGTAAGATCTTAAAAAGAAACAGCTGTGAGCTAGCTATATTACAGGTCAGGAACCTGAGGTCTCAAGAGGCTAGTATCTTCTTGCCCAAAGTCTGAGAGCCATAACTTTAACCCATCTTCCCGACTCCAAAGCCCACATTCTTCATAACCATTCCTGACGTGTATACTATCAGGAAAAGTTTTAGATGATGGAGGGAAATTTCTTGACCATAGTGCCCTGAGTTCGTTATTTCAGTTTTTTTAAAAAAAGATGGAAAAACTATCTCCCATATGAAACTACAATGGGAAATACAGCTTTGGAGAGGAGAATGGACTAAACCAGAGGCTTTCCCCAAAGAGTTATCATACTGTTACACAGTTACAAGCCAAACAATCTAACATTCAATGCAGTACATCAAAATAGGAAGTCGGTTACCTACCCTAAATCAAGGTACTTGATCTATAGAATGCCTATACAATGTACACTACTTGGAGATTTTTGTTACAATGACTTAACTGCTTTCTCTAACATAAAGCCTGGCACAAAATGGGTATCCAACAAACATTTGCTAAATGTGTGAGTAAAATCTAAATATACTAGCCCAAAAGACAAAATATTTTATGTAAAAATACATTTGCAAGTTCCCTTTTGTGCCTGGCCATATTTAATTTCTCTTTTCTATTATATTCTTATACCACTTTATTTATAGATCTGTTTTAGAGCTTTTTGCTGTCTGGGCTACATTAGAGTTATATGGTATGTGAGTCTTCCAGATATCAGCACCATATTTAGTCACTGTTGTATATGTACCAATGCAGTTCGAATAACCAGTAGTTGTTCAATGGAATTGAATAGTGTGTGGTACTCACCTTGTAGCTTACATTCAGCTTTTGTACTGGCCATCAGTACAGTGCACACTCAACCCACTGAACTGGAATAACTACAGTAATAACAGCTCCCCTTCAGGGAGCACATGCTGTATCTCAGACACTGTTAACGTTTTTGTTTGTTTTCATATCGAATCGCTACATTTATACACCATTCCAAGAGATTGGTGTTTATGCCTCTATGATTATTCCCATTTTAAAGATGAGGAAACCAAGGCACCGAGAGTTGAAATAACCAGGCCAGGGTTAAGCACCAGTAAGTGTCTGAGCCACAACTCGGACTCAGGCGGTATGGTTCCAGCACCTTCACTCTTAACCACTATTCTCCACAGCCTGTTAAAGACCACAGACAGCTAGAAAACAGTTCATTTATTTGTTTATAGGGTGGCTTTTTTTCTCAGGAAAAATAATCAACAAGGAGCAAATTTTATTGTTTATTTCATGAATATTATCACTTACGATTGTACTTACATTCCTGCAGTTGACAGTGTGAATATCCTTCATTAAATCTGTTGGACTGGAACCACCGAGGGATGAAGAAGGCTGTAACCTTTAAAAAGTGATACATAAAACATTTTCTCTACTTCTATTGTTAGAAGGAAATGTTCTCCTCTGAATGCATCACGATCTGGTAGACATGCAGAGGAGTGTAACGTGAGACTGAGCATCAGGACAGTTTTCACACAGGCCAGCTCGTTAGGTGCAGACTTACTTCTGACTACAGAGAGCTGAAAAGCACTCAGTGCACAGAAACACGGAACTGCGGTGTCAGTAAATCATGTTACTTATCTTAACATAGCACCTGGTGACGTATTACAATAACATAGAACACACTCAGTTTAAAACAAGCATTCACATAAAGAATCGGTTCCTTCTCAAGATAACAAATAGCAGAACTGAAAGTAAAGAAAGAGTTCCTAATGTTCTGCAAGCTTTAAGTACAAAATGTCATATTTTAACAGTGATAGGTCATCCTCATGGACAAAATCAATGGGACACATAAGGACAAACATACCCTTCAGCCACTAATTGCTTCATAAGACTTAAACATGCAAAACTGACAGTACCACATAATATATTATTAAATGCTCAACTATGTGAAACACATAATGGCATAAACATAACCTTGTCTTTACATATCTGCCAGATGACAGTTGACAAGAAATCAAGGGAGAAATTAATACAGAAATGGAATGAACTAGGTCAGAAAACAGAAGAAAAGACCAGCGGCCTGTCTTGGATTTTCCACAGGGAAGTCAATGTAAACATACATGTGAAATTGGCTGTTTAAGCGCTCCACTCCTCGACTTCACCTTAAACTCCCCACTGCTCTCAGCAACCTGACTCCTCTCTCAATCAAGTCTCCCGAGTGTTCTCTGAAACCGTCCTGTTTTCTCCCATCCACCTCCACTCACTGGCTGAAGTGCCTCCGCAACACACATACACACCTTTCCCACTGCACCCTGGCCGTTCTGATGGTACCCAGCCGCAATGTTTAGCTCACTTCCACTCCTCTTAAAATGCTCTTCCAGTGTATATGATCAAATGATTTTCAGAAAGGTATCAAGAAAGGGCAGTCTTTTCAACAAATGGTGCTGGGAAAACTGGATATTCACATGCAGAAGAGGGAAGTCTGGCTATTACCTTATGCCATACATAAAAATTAACTCAAAATGGATCAAAGGGCTAAATGTAAGACTCAAAACTATAAAACCCTCAGCAGAAAACATGGAGAAAAGGCTTCATGACATTGTGTTTGGCAAAGATTTCTTGGATATGATACCAAAAGTACATGTAACAAAAGAATGGATACAATCAAATTTATCGAAATTGAAACCTGTGCATCAGAGGGCACTACCACCAAATCTTACAGATAAGGGTTAATTTCCAGAAGAAAGAACTCCTACAACTCAACAATAACAAAAAAACAACCCAACTGAAAAATGGGCAAAGGAACTAAAGAGACATTTCTCCAAAAAAAGATATACAGATTGCCAATAAGCACATGAGAAGATTCACAACATCACTAATCATTACGGCAAACAAACCAAAACCACAATGAGATGCCATTTCAAACCCATCTGGATGACTGTTATTAAAAACAAACCAGCAAACAAGAAGCAATGGTGAGAAACTGCAACCCTTATTGTGCACTGTTGGTGGAGAATGTGAAATGGTGATATGGGAAGCGTAATAGCGGTTCCCAAAAAAATTAATAGAATTACCATATAAGCTAGCAATTCCTCTTCTGGGCATATACCCAAAAGAACTGAAAGCAGGGACCAGAACGTACATTCATATGCCCCTGGTCGCAGCATCATTATTCCCAACAGCCTCAAGGCGGTAGCAACCTGGGCATCCATCAAGACATCACAAATGGCTTATAGTGATTTTTTCACATTAAACTATTTTTAATTTAAAAACTTAAAAATTCAAACTGTACAGAAAGAAAATAAAAAGCAAAAATTTCTTCTCTTTTCTACATATCCGGTCCCTCAATCCCTAGTCTAAACATGGAAGGAAACAAATACTGAAAAGCCTGAACAAAATACCTGTATTGTTATATATGATATCATGCAGGTATTGTGTAAGTTCCTTCTCTGCAATTCCAAGATCCAAAAATACCTTGAAAACTGAAAGATTCTCCTCCATATTTCATTTAACAGCAAAATCTGAATCGATCTGAACTCAGCAAAACCTAACTAGTATGAGGCTTACTTATCTTTTTTTATCCCACTCTGTCCTAATCACTGTAAGTACTTACAAAACCTCACTCCAGAAATATATTTTTCAGCTTTATTATGGAAAGTGTCCTTCAAACAGACATAGAAGTAGATAATATAATGAAATCTTATAACACCCACCAAACAGCTTCAATAGTTATTCTTTCACGATCTTGTTTAAGGCACATACCCCAAACTCTCACCTCCCCTCTCCCCCCCAGACATTTTACCATTTCATCTGGTAAAATGGGAAATAATGATTTAATCGCCTATGGAGTGCTGCCCCTCATGTTCTCTGGGGGTATTACACATAACTCTCTAAATACTGAATTCCAAAGTACTCTAAAATCTTCAAAAATTCTGAGTTCAAAACCTATGTTTCAAGAGTTTCACGTAAGTAAATATGGATCTGCATACACACACACTCACCTCCCCACACACCTTTTTTCTTACACAAGTGGGTTATATACATATTATTCTTTTGTTCTGTTCCTGTTCTTTCTATTAACTTTACACATCTTTCCATATTAGCATAAATAGAGCTACCTAATTTGAAACAGCGGTGGAGTACTCCATTTGTATGGCTATGCCATAACAAATTATGGCCACAATGAATATTTAAATATTAAAAGCACTACTTTTAAAAATACATCAGCGAATAGTCTCATCCATAGATCTTCGCATGTCCGTATAAGACTCTTTGCTACTGGGGTAGAAGTGGGGAGTGTGGGGTTAACATAAACTTATATTTTTGATAGATATACTCAAATTGCTTTCTATAGCTGCTGGGTTAATTTATATTCCAAAAAAACCAATTCCAAGCCATATTTCCATAGCTGCTGGATTAATTTAAGAGTGAATTTTCTCACACTCTCACAAATATTATCAATCTTTCAAATCTCTGACAACCTTTAAATGGAAATAGATATCTCATGTAGTTTGCACATGTTTTTGACTGAGTAGGGTTGAGCAATTTTTAGTTTCTTGGCCATTTGTATTTTTTTCTGTTGTTGTCTATGGTCCAGCTTTATTATTAAACTACTTTTAAAAATTAGCTAATAACTTTATTGTTTATACTACTTACATCTTAATACAGATTAAGATTACAGTTATATAAAGTTTATTATATATAGTTTAATAAACTATTCTTTATACTATAAAACTTCACATATTAAGATAATTTGTCCATTTTATCATATGAAATACATACATTTTTCTGGAGTTCATAATTTATCTTTTAACTTTGTTATAATGGTTATAGTTGTGCTTAAATTTTTAGCTTTTATATAACATCAATTTTTTTCTTAATGAGTTCTGGATATTACATGATGATTCTTTTTAAATATATATATATATATATATTTTTTTTTACTTTAGATTTCTCTTTATCTAACTGGGTAATTGGTATCAGTTGACATTTAAAATATGGGTATAGAAAAAGATTGAGGGAAGGAAGATAATGCATTCAATATATGATATGTTAATTTTTTAAACACAAACTAATTTATATGAAATAAAAGAACTCTTTTGTGGGGTGCCTAAATTTATGTCCTGACAAATATATAATCATATAACCACTATTAAAAGCAAGTTAAAGAAGATGCCCATCACCCGATATGTTTCCTTGTGTCTTTTTATAGTAAATCTCTCTTTTTTTTTAAATTTTATTTAGTTATTTTTCAAGTACAGTTTTTTGTCTATTTTTCCCATCCCAGCCTCCCTAAATATATATATTTTTTTAATTGTTTACTGATCTTTAGAGAGGAAGGGATGGAGAGACAGACAGACACATTGATTTGTGGTTCCATTTACTGATACACTTGTTGATTATTTCTTGCATGTGCCCTGACTGGAGATTGAACCTGCAGCTTTGGTGTATCCGGACGACACTCTAACCCAACAGTCATTCCCCAATCTTTTTGGCGCCAGGGACTGGTTTTATGAAAGACAATTTTTTCACTGACCAGGGTGGGGATGGGTTCGGGATGATACAAGCACATTACATTCAAGCTCACCTCCTGCTGTGCGGCCCGGTTCCTAACAGACCTGTACTGGTCAGCAGCCCAGAGGCTGGGGACCGATGCTCCGACCCGCTGAGCTAACGGGCCAGGCCGTGTGATGATTCATGCGTGACATTCCAAACTAAGATTATAAAAATGTGTACCTGTGTTCTCAAAGTAGCTTTATAGATTTATTTTGAGTGTTTTGATTTATTTGGAATTTATTTTAGTAAAAGAAGATAGGGTCTAGCTTTATTTTTTCCAGATGGCTTTAGAGATACTATAATGCTCTCAACAATTTAATCCATGTTACCCTTGCTGACTTAAAATGCCACTTTTGCCATATAATAAATTCCCACATACGTTTGAGTCTTTTTCTGAAATCTATTTTTTTCACTAATCTATTTTTTCCTCGTACCAAAATGTTTTAGTCACTATAGCTTTATAATATAATATCTGAGAGTTTTATTCTGAATCTAATTTTGTTTTTTAGAATTTTCCTGGATATCCTTTAATGGTTATGATCATTTGTTGGATTCTAAAATGCATGATGGTATTTTGAGTGGATTCACACTGAATTCATAGGTTACTTCAAAGAACACTGACATCCTCATAATACTGAGATTTCCTATTAAAAAATAACTTCTATCCGGAAAGTTATTCAAGTCATCTTTGACTATCTTTGTAGCATTTTAAAGTTTTTTATTCACTTCTAGATACTCCTTGTAAAATCTATATTTAAATACCTTTTTCTCTGTTTTGTTTCTACCATAAAGGTGATCTTTTCTTCCATCATATTGTTGAAGTGGTTACTGTTTGTATATAGGAAATGTACTGACTTTTTAATATTGGTTTTTGAAGTATAATAAATTTTACTTGGAATATTTGCAAAAATAAAACACTACCTTTGTAAGTCCAGAACTTCATTGGCAATATCTGTTCCGATACTACCAGCACCAAGTACTGTTCCAGTACACATTCCAGGCACACTGATACAAGACCTTCTAGAGGATTCTAAGTAACAACAAAAGGAAAAATTCAATTGAGGACTTTAAAAAAGTATGTAACTCTGGTTAATATATTTCTTTCAACTATTTCTACCTTTAAAAGAAATAGACTAGCCATATCCTAAAATGTTAGAAACAGTAATGCTTTTATTACAAACATAATTCATGATGATTTAAGATGTTTATTCCAGAGTGTATATGAATCAAATGTGTACAAAGTCACTGAGGGTACAACCATGACCCATAACCCTTGAATACAGACAGCTCCCTCCCACTTAAATATTGATACTAAAGCCAGAACAATACTACTTTATTTTAAATATTTCCTAATATTTTCATTTATGCAAGTGATACATTGCATAAATGTATTAATAGGATTTACATTGCATAAATGTATCACATTTGCAATGTAGTGTAAGTCCTGTGATGAAAAACTGACAGACAAGCAAAAACTCCCCCTTAGCACCTTTCATTAATGTGTCCAACAGGTACTTTATTGAGTGCCACAAAGTAGAAAACTATGCTAGCTGCTAGGGACAGCAGATGAATAAAACACTCTTTCTGCTCTTCAGGAACTTAGTCCAATTGCAACACAACGTAAGATTATAAGGAAGTGTGAGCACAGTTCTGTGGATAACCCACCCAAGTGTTTTCAATTTCACCTCGAAAATGTTACCTCTCCAAGACAGACAAAGATGGTAACAATAATAACAGTCTTGGTAATAAGTTTCCATCATCTAAAACTAAGCTTACCTTCAAATGACTGAGTGCTGCAAGGAAGTGATGCGGCCACTTCTCCAGTCTCACTGTGTCCCCTAGAATGTAGAAACACCAGAAGTGACTCCTTTTTTAAAAAAAGAAGGAAATTGTTAAAGTAACTATATTAAGCTCTGTGTATTTCATTAGTTATTTCTTGACCCATTTGTTTTATATACATATATTGTTAATATCACCACCAGAGATCAAGGTATTAATGTGCTAAGTACCAAATGCCCTATTACCCTATAATGTACATGTTGTTGTAGTTACAAATTCTCAGTTCATATGCTAATGATAAGAAGACAAGGGTTATTGGAACAGGTAACCAGATACTGCTGGAGGTACTAAGTTTTGGAGCTTTTTGAAAAAGCTAAATATTGTAGATAAGGACATAGGTTTGAGGTAACATAGCAGCAATTTCAAAAAACTTAAAAGACTAATATTGGGTTGGCCAAAATGTTCATTTAGTCTTTCCCATACGATGGCTCTAGTAGCACTTACTGGTCTTTAACTTCCTTCAAAACAATTTTGTTAGATTGTGTTGTGACAGCTGTCATAGCAGCGTACATTTAAAAAAACTTCTCAAAATTGATGAATTTTTGTGTAGCCATTTTAATTTGAAGATGGAAGAAGATAAGCAGTATTTTTGACATATTATGCTGCATTATTTTAAGAAAGATAAAAACTCAACTGAAATGCAAAAACAGATTTGTGCAGTGTGTGAAGAAGGTGCTGTGACTAATCAAATGTGTCAAAGAGGTTTGTGAAGTTTCTTGGTACTATTGACATTTGGGCCAAATAATCCTTTGCTGTGGGGCTGTCTTACACATTGGAAGATGTTTAGCAGCACCTCTGGCCTCTACCCACTAGAACCCAACAGCAGGAATAGCCAACATACTCAAAAATATCCAAAGCAATAAAGTTATTGGTGGAAATGAAAAATGTGTCCTTTATTTTACAGAAAAAAAACCAAATGGACTTTTGGCCAGCCCAATATTTATAACAGAGCTATGCTATGTTGAGCATATGAGGAAGAGTTGGCTCTTCCTTCAGGCTGACAATCCCAGACCAGGGCTTGGCGAGCAGGGCTTGGGCTGGACACCGCTCACCCCTCAGCCAAGTTCTCCCGCACATCACACATGGTACCCAATGCTTTGGAAATGTGCGTGCAAAATTGATGTGGAAGACAAAACAATTTCTTACCCTGACATACAGTTTAAAGCCACACCCACATCACTTACTGATGGGACAAGACGAAGCTTAGGAAGGAAATGCTTGAATAAAACCTTTACTATCGCATTTTATACTAAGCAAAAGGAATAGACTTTAAAAGGGCAAACTTTTAACTTAACTCTGAGAACTAGTGTGAATAGACAGGGAATGGATTGCTCAGTATATATCACAAGTTGTAATATAAAGACAGAGGACACACAGTTTGATGGTTTAGCAAGATGAGAAGAGGGAAGCAGAGAGATTCATTTGAAATTCATACAAGGTCTTACCACATAATGAATTACTTACAAAACTAAAGTGTTGACAGACACAATATATTCCAGTTCTTTGGTCCAAGGATTTGTGAAACTAAACCACTGGCTTTTTAAAGTTACAAAAGAGCCATCTTTCACTCTGAATTTGTATGAATCTGTAAATATTTTCTCTTTACTCTGTAGAACTTAATAAGGAAAAATAATAATCAGTATAATGGTCTACCACCAGATAAATCAAACTTTTGAGGATTAACTCAAGTTTTAGATTTCACAGCAATGAGAATTTGAGTTGAAGTACCAAAACCCTGCCCCACTCAGTGCGTACCTGCTTTGTGCTTGTCAGTCAAATTACTGTGGTCATCTTGATGAAAATATTCATAACATGACGTTCCCAAAAGTTCCTGAGGCAGATATCCTAAAATTGCTGTTGCCCTGGTTATAAAATTAAAAATAAACTTCAGAATTGGTGAACAAACTCCCTTTGAGAATACTTCAGGCCCACCCATACGTGGTCAGGTACGAGGGAAGCGGACTAAGGGATCAGTAACCCAGGTGCCTCACTGGGCTCCCTTTGGCTGCCCTGGACCCAGCCAGAGCTGCAGATCAGAATGGACATGTATCCAATCCAGAGTATGCTTGTTCTACCGCTTGCCAATAAAACCATGGCCAGAGACCATGCCCAGTTTCTGTGCCACTGTCTAAGAAATATTCCAAGATTACATTTTGGCTTGAGCGAATTTACTGCTATATCCATAATGTTATTTCACTTAGATTTTATTTCCTGTTCTAAAGCCTTAAAAGACTAAGCCCAGCATTTTAATAGCCTTAAACAGTGCTAAGCCACATTTTAATAGCCTTAAACATCCCATTGCATTATGTCCATTAAGGCATATAACTGTTACCTTTGGTCCACGTAGACAAATTTTCCATTCACTGCAAAACGGGTTATAAATTCCATTGGCTTCACTTTAACCCCCCCACGGCTCTGTGGGACAGTATGTGGATATAATCTCGCAATGGCAACAAGGCAGGTGAAATTACTGTCTTTCTTATTGTCCCTTTCTTCTTCCATTCCAACAATACTCCGGGGCCAGCTTCGCAAGTAACCAGTGCAGTGGATAGTACAGAATTTTCTGTGATCTGTTTCAAAAGTTTTTTAAAAAGAGCATTTGTCAATGTTATCTCTGTAAAACTAGAAATAACAATAAAATAGCATTTGAATCATTATGGATAAATTCCTAAATTTCTTATATTGACACTTATAATAGATATATAATAACTGTGCTAGGAAATAGTCTCTCAGTATGTGAAAATATGAACGGGGAATAGCATTCCATTGAAAAAAATCATCAATTGTGTTTAACAACCTTATTCTTAATGTGTTATTTTTCTCAGGAACTAAACTATATTTAAAAAATAAGCAGATTGCTTCAATTTAGTTTTAAATAAGTCATAACTATTACTAAGTCAATTTTTAAAAATACAGTAATTTATATGTTAGAAAAAGTCAGCCCTGGCTGGTGTAGCTCAGTGGATTGAGCGCGGGCTTGCGAACCAGACAATCACGGTTCGATTCCCAGTCAGGGCATATACCCGGGTTGCAGACCGGTTCCCTGCAGGCCACTTCCCAGCAGGGGACACATGAAAGGCAACCGTACATTGATACTTCTCTCCCTCTCTCCTTCCCTTCCCCTCTAAAAATAAATAAATTTAAAAAATTAAAAAAAAAAGAAAAAGTCAAACTTCATGCTCTCTTGCTTAGACACAGATACTGTCTTCAGCTTATTAAAATTTTGATACATTATATTCAAAAGTTTAAAGGATAATTATTCATACATTTTTAAATTCCTTTTTTCTTTTTTCTCATTATTATCAACCCTTAAGTTTCTTATGTTAGTACTTATAATGGTTAAAATAGATTATAAAACCATTTTAGAGAACATTTGGAGGAATTTATAATAAAAGGCATAAAAATACATTTAACTCAAATTTCCCTTTCTGGAAAAAAATTTCAAGCAATTAACTCATAGGAAAAAGGTTGTCGAACAGGTCTGACCAGGAAAGTAAAAAAACTGAAAAAAAATTCCTATGCTCAAATATCAGGAAATGCTTAAGAAAACAATGAAATGCAACACAAGCATAAAAGACAAGCAGCATATAGATTATGGCAATCCAAAAAAAAGTGACTTAAAGGTTTAACAGAAGGAAAAAAAGGCTGGTAAAAATTACTTAATTGGTTTGTGAAAATATTTAGAAAAGACTAGAATAATCACTGTTTTAAATTGGCACTATTTGGTAAGACTTATTACAACAATTCTTTTGAAAACATTTTTTAAATACATGATATGGACTGTCTTATCAAACAGCAATTAATAGTAAATAGCAAAGATTTATAGAACACTTTCTGTGCTATGCTCTGTTTTAAGTGCCTTAACTGTATAATTCATTTAATCTTCTTAATAGTCCTGGGGGGTGTTCTGACATGCTCATTAGGGTAGGAGCCTGCCAGCTAACACCAAGGTCATAGCAGGGAGGGGTGGGGCTGAGGTTCACTTCCAGACAGGCTGGCTCCAGGCCTCCCTTTCTGGGCCACTAATGCCCTGCTATTTGATGACAGTGAGTGCTCTGTCACAGAAGGTGTTCAAACAGGAGTTGCCTGGATAATGGAGGGGAGAGTGTACAAAAAACTATTCCAGTTACAGGGAACACCCACTGCAAATCAAGAGTCAAGAGATAGCGGTCGGATGTGGCTGAAGCATAGTCTGTGATGGGGAAATGGAGAATAAAAGAGGCAACAGAATTTGACCTCCGTATGCCATGCACAGGACTTTGTATTCAATGTCTAACCCACAGCGCCCCTCCATAATCCACAGATTCCTTAAATTACAAGTCATTATCTTTCCAGCCCCTAGCCAAGTGTACCACTTATCCCCTATTCTGTTTAATGTCACCATAAGCAACCCAGGTGGGCAGAGCTATCTCCAAAGACCAGACACAACAGGTCAAGTAGAGAGTCACCGGTGTCAGACTTAGGAAACCAGACGGCATGCCCTTGAAGTGGTAAGTGCTGAAAGGCTATGTCACATGGCACCACAGCATCTGCCACACTCGCACCAGAAACCAGTGGATTCTGGGTGCATTACTGAGTTCCTGATTATCTTACCAAGATAAACGTAAGAAATACCTGAGATGTTTGGAAGCAGCCATCCATCCTTCACCAGCCTTTGATTCACAAGTTGAGATACACGATTAATTTTATCCCTATCTCAGAAGCTTTTTAAAAGTCTGAATTTATGGCATTACTGTTAGAATCAGGGTAGAAATAATGTTTTTAATGTCCATCTTGCCTATTTTTAAAAAACCTTATTATGGAAAATCTCAAACATACACAAAATCAGAGAGAATAGTACAATTGACCCTGGAACAATGAGAAAGCAGGGATTTGGGGATGCTAATCCCCCAGCAGTCAAAAATCAGTGTGTAGGCTGACGGTGAACAGAGCAGGAGGGGAGGGAATTTCAGGGGAAAAGGGGAAGGGTTTGCAGGAACAAGTATAAAGGAGGCATGGACAAAAACAAGGGGGGCGGACAAATGGGAAGTGGAGAGGGCTGTGGGGGGTGGGCTGGGATGGGAGTAAAAAGCAGAAAACTGTACTTGAACAATTAAAAAAAAAAAATTGGTGTGTAACTTCTGACACCCCCCGAACTTTACTAATAGCCTATTGTTGACCAGAAGCCTTACTGACAAGTCAATTAATGCATATTTTGTACATTATATGTATTACATACAACATTGTTGCAATAAACCTAGAGAAAAAAATGTTAAGAAAATCATAAGAAAAAATATATTTACAGCATTTACTGGAAAAAAAATCAACATGTCCATATAGTACCAACTCACGCTGTTGTGAGTGACTCATCGCTAATTTTGGAAAAAGCCTTTCCATAAATCTCAAATTCAGCTTCAACTGGTATTGAAAGGATTGCTTTCTACTCTTCTTTTGTATTTAAATGTAACTAAGGCAAAACAAAACTATGGAGACACAAGATTAGTGTTTGCAGGGGAGGTGGTGGGGAGTGATAAATAAGCAAAGCATAGAATTTTTGTCAAGATAAATGAAGATACTTTGCATAATGATGCAGCTATGTCATTATACAGTGGTAGTTGTACAAACCCACAAAATGTACAGCATCAAGAGTAAACACACTATGGACTCTGGGTGGTTAGGATGTGTCAACGTAGTTTTGTTCCATCCTTGGGAAAAAATCTACCATTCTGGCGGAAGATGTTGACAATGGGGGAGGCTATACACACCTGGAGGTCGAGAGTATATGGGAAATCTTTCTACCTCCCTCTCAATTTTGTTGTAAACCAAAAACTGCTCTAAAAATAATCTTAAAAATAACAAAGCTTTTCATGCAACATATCATGGTTAAAAGGGAAGAAAAACACCTTTATTAAATTTCATCATTAATAGAGTGGTCTTAAAACAGTCCATTGCATTGGCTTATAACTACTGGAAAGAACAACTGAATAGCAACTACATTGTAAGGCAAAATACAATGATCTCACTGACAGGCATTCCCCTTGGCTAAAGTGCCACGCAAGATGATCTCATGCATGGCAGTCATCCATGGGGCAGCTCAGCGTTCCATTCTGCCGCGACCTTATCCTGGTCCTGGCCTCTGTCTATGTGTCTGTCTGCGGGCAGTTCTCAAAAACCAGGTTCTGCACGGAAAGGCCTTACTGTTTGTTAACACACGCCCTCACCATTCCTTAGGCCGAGCCGGCCTCGGGCCTTTGGCACACCGCTCTGGAGTGTCATGTGAATGCTTGGGTCAAGTGCTTGGAGCAGATTAAAAAGTCCCTTTTTTGAGGAGATATTTCACTTTCATCGCAGGCATGCATGTGGCCCAGCTTGATGTGGAAGCAAACCTCTGTGTGTGGGCAGGAATACAGTCCTCCAAGAGAAGCCAACCCACGGGTGTGTGTCCACTGCAGAAATCACCCACAGTGGATCTCTTTCATCAGTAACCTTTGGCATCTAGGAAGCTACTTAAGTACGTGATGTGGCACGGTGGAAAGAACAGAGGTTAATGCTAGATTCTGATTCTGCCACTTTCTGTGTGACCATAGACAAATTCCATAATCTTTTCAGGCTTCAGTTCCTTCATCTGCAAGATGGGGGTGGTTTGCGTAGTGTTGTTATGCAGATTAAGTTAATGCCAATGCAAAGTATTTGGCACATGGATTTTACAAAATTACTAATTTTCTTCTTGCTTTATTTTCCTTCTTTTTTTTTCTGAGTCACAAATAATGGCTTTCATTTGTGGAGTGCTTACGAGGGGCCAAGCACTGCATCAGCCACATGTGACCCTAACCGTACTCCCACGTATTACCCGTCTGCTAGTACTGCCCGTAACAAGCATACCACCGACTGGGTGACTTAACCAATAGGAATTTGATTTTCTTATTGTTCTGAAGGCAAGAAGTCCTAGTTCAAGGTGTTCGCAGTTGGGTTTCTCGTGAAGCCTCTCTCTTTGACTTGTACACAGGAGACTTCTCACTGGGTCCTCACATGCCCCTTCTCTGTGCCTGTGCATCCCAGGGGTCTCACCCTCTTCTTCTGAGACACCAGCCACACTGGATTAGGGCCCCACTCTTATGACCTCACTGAACCTTAATTACCTCTTTAAAGGCCCCACCTCCAGGTACCATCACATTGGGAACAGGGGCCTCAATGTGTGAATTTTGGGGCAAACGTGTGCAGAACCCCATATTTCCATGTGTTGAAAGGGGCTTGCCTTCCACCTGAAGCTGCACAGTTGTTAAGCAGACCTGCCATTAAAACCCTGTGAGGTCGGAGCCCTGGCCCTTTCTACTGTCCCAGCACCTGACTGGGACACTCTCAGGGCTCTCCAGAGGCAGAGCTCGATGAGGACCTGGAACACTTAAAAATGCCAGTTCCTTTGGTTCATCACCAAATTCAACTGTAAGTCCGTCTTAATTGACCATTTGCCAGATATTCTTAAAATATCTACATTTTTCCAGTGAGATTATCAATATTTATTTCAAAGGAAAGAAATTTTCCCTGCCTCTCCTATAAATCTCTGAAACTTATAATAATAAAAAAATCCTTT